TGCGTGGTGATGGGCAGGGTGGAGGCGATGGGGGTGTTGATGGTGGAGTAGATCATGCCATCGGCGGCCCGCACGGTTGCGGTGGAAGGAAGCATTTGCCGGATGGCGCCCAGGCGGACACCAGGAACGTTGTACTGTGCCAGGTTGCTGAAGCCCTGCCGTCCCTCAGGGAAGGTGGGGTTGTACATCCCACCGGGTTTGGGGGGTACAGGGCCCTGCTGCTGAGCTGCCAGCCCCCCTGTGGCCCCCTGCCCAGTGCTGGGGCCATAAGGCAGCACATCAGGGCCGTTGGCATGCCGGCCCCCGTACTGGTCCATGGAGTTGAGGGCAGCACACATGCGGCTGATCTCACGTGCCGTGGTGGCACTGTAGTGGGCCAGGCTGGACTCCTGGAAGCTGGCCAGGTCCCCTCGGTGTGAGAAACGGTAGTCAGAGTAGAGGTTGGAGGCTGAGCTGTACCTCCGCATGGGGAAGGGGTGGCTCAGCAGCTCTCCTGGTTGGCGGAGGTCAGAAAAAGAGCCGTACTGTGGCCCCTGGCCCAGGTAACCCCCTTCGGCAAAGCCCACACTGTAGGAGTGCTTCATGGTGCTGAGGTCCACGGCCGCATCACCTGCTGGGGCAGGGAAGGGCTGATCCCCCTTTGTGTGGTAGTAGCTCATCCCGATTTCAGAGAGGTTCGTGTCCGACATGGAGGAGTAGAGTCGTCCAAAGGCGCTGGCTGGGTAAAACTTCTGCTCCTCGTAGAGCGCAGGTGCCGGGGCTGGCTGCTCCCGGTAAGGGAAGGTCTCTGGCAGCTCTGGCTCTCTGCTGCCATACATTGGTCCACCAGCTTTCCGACCAGGCATCACTGCTGCCTCCCCTGTTTTCTTCTCTGGCATCTTGGAGGTGGGGTTGAAAGCACCCGTGCAGCTGCCACCAAAGGGGAACTTGTAGACCATGTCACAGCAGGCCACCTGGCTCTCTGGCTTCACACCCGTGAGGTCCAGGACATTGGCTGGCCCCTCCTCTTTCAGCACTTTGGTCACCGGGCCAGTCGCTGCCTCCTCCATCTGCACCATCATCACCTGGGATTTCTTGCCACCCAGGGCAAGGAGAGGGCTCTGGCTCTTCAGCTCTACTGGCACTGCCCTGTACACCTCCGATCCTGGCTCTGGTGGGAAGGCCTGTGGGAGGCCACTGGCATTCTGTGCCCCACCGGTCTGTGTGAGGAGCACGTCCTTCTTCACCATCTGGCCTGGCATGCCGTACCTTGCAAATTTGGTCTGGGGGGCAGCAGGAGGCTCGGGCTTGCCACTGGCCACCCCGCTGGCTCTGACAGTGGCTGTCTGGACACCCTGCTCCACCTGCTTCACCTGCGCCAAGCACACTGGGCTCCCAGTCCCCTGCCCAAAATCCACACGGCTCTGGAAAGGGTCTCCATAGACCATGGGTTGCTTGGACTGCGAGAGAATCATGGGAGAGGCGATGGCCAGGCTGGCAGTGCTGGCTGCTGCGATGATGGCGTGGGGCTGCTCCTGGGCATTGAGGTTGATGATCAAGGGCTGGATGGCTGTGGACTGCCGGTTGGGGATGTGGTCCAGGGTCAGGCAGTACTTCCTGGCCTCAGTGGCCAAAGATGTGAGATCCATGCCTTGGTCTGTTATGATGATGGGGGCAGACTTCAATGCGGTCCGTAAGTCCACAGCATTGCTGCTTGGTACCTTGGGCCCTGGCTCCACCCGGGACGTACCGGGGATGGAGGAGATGCGGCAGAGGGAGATGTTTTCTGCAGGGAGTGCTCCCCAGCTGTAGAGTCCTGTGATGCCATCAGGGGCTGAAGTCACGGCTGGTGCTTTCTGGGCGTGGTCCTTCACTGGCTGTGCCCTGATGTAGGCACCTGTCGGCTGCTCTGGCTCCGGTGTCTGGGTGTAACCATGTGCCAGCAGCTGCCGGCTTGGCCTGGTGGGGGACGAAGTGGGAGATGTCAGGGCGCCAGAGCTGACTGGCTTGGTTTGGCTGGCTGCATCAGCCGCCAGTGTGATCACCATGAAGGGGGAGTCCTGTGAGGACGCCTGCCGAGTCAGGCGCGGCGAGCCCGCCCGGTGCGGCGTCTGTGTTCCCTGCGCCACCATGGGGGAAGAGGTGTCCGGGCCAGCTGCAGCAGCAGAAGGACCATCATAGGAGAGCACTGGGCTCTGTGTCTGTGTGGAAAACTCTGCTGTGGCCTTTGTAGTGCGGGTGGGACTCTGCGTGGGTGAGGTGGGTGAGAGCGGAGGGCTGGAGCTCTTGAAGAAGGTGTATGTCTTGGGCAGTGTGGGCTTGCTGTCACTCACGGCTGGGATCTTCTCCCTGGCTGTCTGCACGCTAATCTCCACTGTCCTGGTTCTGGTGGTATCCTCGGTCTGTGAGCCATAGCTGACAGTGCTCTTTGATGGAGTGTAGCTTCTCCCAGCTATGGATGGGGCCTCCGGACTTGGTGAGCTGTAGCTCTGCAGTGCACTCCCAGGGCTGCCTGCTGCTGTTGTCACTGTGCTGGTGCCTTTGCTGTAAGCATAAGGAGTGGTAGTAACCTTGGATACTGGGCTGGGTGCTGCTGGGGCACTCTGGAGCTTGCCTAGGTCTTGTCCCTCTTTTGCAAAATGCTGAGTGACCCGGACATCAGGAATAGTCTTGCCAGTGCTGCTGTCGGAGCTGGCGAAGGAGACAGGAGCAGAGAGCTGTGTGGGGCTTGTGCCAGGGGTGAGAGGGCCACCATTCTGCTTCAGCAGGTCAGCGTAGGCGCTCTCTGCATTAAGGAAATGCTTCTCCTGGTACGCCTCCTCCTGCCCCTTCACCTTCTCACCCAGATCAAAGGAAGAGGACTGGTGCATCCTGGAGATGCTCTTCGAGGTCTGCAGGATCTCCTCGTACACCGCTCCTGCCTTTGGCAGGGCACTGGAATAGTCGGGCTGGGAGGGGCGCGTGAGGCCGCCGTCGTACTGGTATTCCTCACCATATTGGTAGTCAAAGCCGTTCTGGCCCTCAGTACTGCGGTAGCCAACCTGCTGGAAGGTGCTGCTGTAGGAAGAGGCAGGCTGGGCCTGCTGGACCTGCTGCTTCTGCATCATCTCTGCCTTCCGCATCATCTCCTCATAGGCTTCCTCGGCGCTTTTCAGGGGCTTGCTGATGGGCTGGCTGGCAGCACTCTCCACCTTCTCTGTCGGGGAGTACAGTGACATGAAAGTGGGCAGGTTGTATTCGCTGCCAGACTTGTACAGCTTGGAGGTCACAGCATCAAAGCTCTCTGCTTCTGAGTCAATGGAAGGCGAGTACTCGGAGCAGGAGGAGCGGTGCAGCTCCTCCATCTCTGCCGCCTGTCGCAGCTCCTCTGTGGGGGAGGCGTCCTCGATGGGGGAGAGATTGCTGGGGGGGGTTTTGGAGCGCTCCCTCCTCCGCTGGGCCCTCAGCTCCTCCTTGTCACGCTTGGTCTTGCGCGCTGTGCTCCGGATGCGCTGCTGCTCCACCTCCCGCATCTTCTCCTGCTCCCGCAGCAGCTCCTCTTCCTCCCGCATCTCCTCCTCCTCAGATGAATCCTCAATGGTGGGCAGCAAGGGGCCATGTGAGCGATGCCGAGCCTTCCTCTGCTGCTTCACCTCCTCCAGGCGCTGCCGGCGGCTGGGGCTGCTGTCGCTATCCTCCTCCAGCGAGGAGATAGAGGTGGGTGAGGTGCCTGAGGTGTAGCTGGGCGTTGTGGCTGGCAGGGTGGAGGAGTACTCGCCCCGTGAGCGCTCCTCAGGGGAGCCTGTCAGGCTCTCCATCTCCAGCTCGGGCTCCCGGTCCACACTGGTGTCTGGCTCCTGGCCAATCTCCATCTCCCGGCCATAGCCAGTTGTGCTGTTCAGCTCGATGGTCTTGAATCGCCGCAGCCCACCCTGAGCCGTGCTCAAGTCATCCCCCTCCACTGCCTCCACCTCTTTGCTCTCCTCTCCTGTGTACATGCTGCTGGCACCGTGTGGCAGGCGCCGCTTGGCCGACGCTGGCTCTTTGCCCTTCTCTGCCTCGCTCTTCTGCCCAGCTTTGGGGATGCTGTACTTGGTGCGCCCATAGCCTTCCTCCTCCTCCTCAAGGTTGTCCTCCTCAGCACTCATCTCCAGGATCTGTCTCCGCATGAACTCCTCATCTGTCACCTCTGCCTCCTGGCCCTTGCTCCGGGGGGGCACTGGGGAGAAGCCCCCCTCGCTGCTGTCCTCCACATAGTCATGCCGCAGCTTGCTGCCAAACTCATCTGAGGACTCTGCACTCTCCCGCCGCTCACGCTGGTTATCCCACTCCTCATCCTCCTCCAGGATGTCTTCCAGCTCCTCATCGGAGTCAAAGGCTTCAGGGGTGATGGAGAGGTACCGTGGCCGCTGCTGTTGCCGCTGGTCTTCCTGCTGCTCTGTGCGGCTCTTGCTGCGCTCAGGGGACTGTGTGGGTGCGCCCCGGCCTTCCAGGAGAGGCCGCATGCTGCTCTCCAGCTTGGTGAGCTCAGAGGGGCTGGGGGGGCTCTGCCCAGCCAGCCCGGTGCTGCTCAGCTTCTCCTCTTCCTGCTGCACCAGGCCGGTGATCTCGCTCTGGGAGCTGGAGATGCCATCGGAGGAGTAGCCGGTGTCGCTGAGGCTCTGGGGGCTGCGGGACAGGTCTGGGGGGTAAGGCTTGCTGCCGTCCTGCAGGCAAGGGAGAACACAGTGTCACATCCAGGCAGCTCCAGAGCTGCTGCTCATTATTCCCCCAAACTGTCTCCCAAGGAGCACACAAAAAGTCTGGGCACCACTGGGAGCCAGCCCAGAGCAAAGGATGGGGACCACCCTGTGTCCCCCAGTTCAGTGGCACATCAGTAACTTGCCTGTGCTAATAAAGGCAGGGTAGAAGGTGTGCTGCAAGCAGGGGATGGTACAGCAAATGGCCCCGGGCACAAATACATTGGGGGACTAAGAAATACGTTTGAAAAACTGGGCCCCAGCCCCCAAAGCACCCTTCAGAAGCAGGGCTGGCCCCAGGATCCTTGCTAGATGCCAGCAGAAATAAGCAGCCCCCTTTAATTGGTTTGACAATTAGGCAGTGTGAGGGACTGAGCCATGGGGACTGTGCCATCACACCCAGCCCTGGCAGGACCTGCCACCCTGCCAGAGGCACCACAGACCACTTGATTTTGGGGACCCAAGGAGCCTCTTCCCTGGGGGCACCACAGCAGTGAGGGGGCAGCCATTCCCTCCCAGCTGGTGGGGACCTTCTGCCATGTCCCCTCCCCATGGGGGGCTCTGCTGGCTGATGCTGGGATGGTCGCTTGTGGGGAAACACCATCCCAAGGTAGGCAAATGTTTCCCCAAATTGTTACGAATTTTAGAAAAAGTGGGATAAAGAGTATGAAAAACACCCACTGCTGCAACATGGAATGCTGGAAAATGAGTTTTCCATTTGACAACAAATCCCAACTATTATTTATATTAGTTATATTATTTATAAGAAATGCAGAGGCCAGACATGACCTGAACTATTGCATTTTGCCTGAACTGATGTAACCCTAATAAAAAGAAGGCAAATATCAGCATGCTGCCATGGAGCCTGTGAAGGTCCTTCCCCATCTGTGGGCACCACTACTGACAGAGGCACAGCTCAGTACCACGCCAGCCTGGGGCAGGGTGTGGTGCCCGGGATGCTCAGAGCTGGATGCTCCCTGAGCACTCACCTCCTGCTCCTTTGCCCGCGGCGCCTCGGGGAGTGCCTGGCTCTCTTTTCTCTCCACCTCTTGTTTGGGGGTCATGCTCTTCCCCTTTGGAGCAACGCTCTCAGGAGCTCTGGAAGGCTCCGGGGCAGCTTTGGGCAGGGGCTTTTCCTCTGCCGGCACCGGGGGCTTCTTTTCTGCTGGCGGTGGGGGTTTCTTCTCCGCTGGGGCAGGGCTCGGGGTCCTGCCCTGCTCAGCAGCGCGGAGGCTCCTGGCGGGCGAGGGCTGCTGCTCGGGGGGCGCTGCCTCGGCGGGCACGGGTGCCGGCGTGGGCGCTCTCTGCTGGCCGGCGGCGGGCGGCTGGTGCCGCGGGGAGCCGCTGGATGGAGGCTTCGGGGTAGGCAGTGGCATTGGGGCAGGGTCGCCGAGGCTCCCTTCGAGCAGCCGCTGAGTTTGGCAGTTCAAGCACAGCCATTCGTTCTTCTGCAAAAGAATGGAAGGGAAAGTTCTGTTGAAATTCTGGGAGCTTCACCCCAGCAGGGATCTCATCACGGAGGAGCTCTGCTGGTGGGACACCTGGCAATGTTGCAGAGGATTCGGCCGCTCCAAACCAAATAACCGGCTGTGGAGGGGCATGCAGCGTCATAGCCATACCCTGCAAACCATCCACATCCAGCTCCAACCCATCCCTACCCTTGTCCAGAACCCAGAGATGTCCAGCCAGAAGTACCATGGCTGCAGCACAGGGATTGAACACTCTCCCCTACAACCCCTCAGCATCACCAGCTCTTTCATTCTTCAGCCTTGTGGTATTTCAGTTTTAATGAAATTAAACAATCAAAGGCATATTACTACCGTAGCTTAACACTTCTCAGCTCCTACAGCTCCTCTCTCTCTCTGATTTGTTTTCTTTGATACTATAAAGGTTTAATAGCATAATCATAACACTTATGGCTCTTTTTTCTAGGTTAACAAAAATACCGGCTACACAAGAATGCCAGAATTTCCCAAAGATATTACCCAAAGTACACGCTGTGCAGGAAAAGAACAAGACAATCTTGTCTAGTGAAATTCTCAGCAAGAGCTGTCGTTTTATGGCCTGCAAAAAGCAGAGGCAAGCGGGGCTGTGAGTGGCAGAGAGCCCACAGGGCTAAGGCAGGGGCTCTGCATTAAGAGATCAGAAGCACTTTCCTCCCCCAGGTCGCCTAAGGGCTATTTTTACCCACCCAGGAATGTCCAGGAATAGGGGCCTGACATTCCCTTCACTTTAGATGTTTCAGCATCTTAAATCTCTTCAGTTTTGCTGCTAACAGCACAGTATGCTCCAGGTTCTTTTCCCAGACATCTTCCTTGCTGCTCCATGGCTCCCAAAGCTCAGGGTGGCCAACCTCAATGGGTGGCTGGCCCTGAGGAGCTGTCATGCTGTCTGAGAGGTGGTCTTGGTCTTCATCTGGACCAGCCTGGGGCCAGGGCTGTGTGCCCTGGGATCCCAGAGGCCATGGTCTGCCTGGAGAAGATTGGGTTCATCAAAATGACATTGAGGAAATAGCCTCAGGTTGCACTAGGGGATGTTTAGATTGAGTATTAGGAAAAATTTCTTCACTGAAAGGGCTGTCAAGCACTGGAACAGGCTGCCCAGGGAAATGGTGGAGTCACCATCCCTGAAGGGATTTAAAAGATGTGTAGATGTGGTGCTTAGGGACAGAGTTTAGTGGTGGCCTTGGCAGCGCTGGGATAACAGTTGGACTCCATGATCTCAAGAGTCTTTTCCAACCTGAACAATTCTGTGATTCCAATCTATGACTCTAAATCCCATACCTATGGGACAGCAGAACTGTGACAGCCTTGTCATCTGCATCCCAGGAGTCTCCAGGCTATGATGAGATGCTGGGGATGCCTTGCAGCTGGTGGTGGCCAGGAGCAGCAGGGACACATCTTCACCTCTGCAGCAATCCAGCCCAGGAGCAGCCATCCAGCCCCACGCTCTCCAGGGAGCACAGGGCAGGATGGCTGCTCCTGCAGGGAAGGGGCAGGTGTAAAACATCCTCCCACACCCAGCACCCTGCAGCAGCCCCTGCTCTTCACACAAACATCTTAAGAATACATTAGGGCTTTGGAGGGCCATTAAAAAAATCCCTTTCAGCATGGTAATATTTAATTACTGCTTAATCAAAGAGAAAGTCTAATTAAGGGGCAAGTGCAGCCTATTGTATCTTAATGATTGCATTTGTCTTCTTTTATTTCAGAACTCATTCCCGTGCCTCTGAATCAGATCTGCTTGCCCCACTCTGCTCTGTAATTATTCCAGAGCGCAGAAGGAAATGTGATTGTGTGACACAAATTGAAACCATGCCTCATGGAAATACACGACCTTTCATTTTTCATTCAGCAATCCCATTTTTCTTTGCCAGAGCTCCCTCCCTGATGCAGGCAGTGAGGGCAAGGCACAATGCACAGGAGATGGGTTGGATGTGCCAGGGCAAAGCTCAGCTCAGTTCCTGCCCATACCTGTCTGCCACAGCACCACACCAGCTCCCAGCACGGTCCTGAAGGAGCTTGAGGAGATCAGCTTGCCTTGAACTACCCAGCCTGCCTCACTCAGATCCTTTACACCCTCCCTGAATGGGGCATTGGATATCCTAATGATGTACCGACCTACCAAACTTTGGTGACTGGGGAGCTCTGCATATGTGATGGGCACAACTGCTTTTGCCCTTCCAGAGAAAAATTCAAGCCAGAAAGACCATGAAGGCCAACACTGGCCTCCAGTGCTGCAGATGCTGAGTGCCAATCAGGTCCCCTTCAAGGAGCCCATGGAGAGGCAGGTGTCACTGCTGGTGTGATCTCATCAGCACGAGGCTTAGGGCTCCTCCACAACCAGACATGCAAAGTACTAATCTATTCCATGGGGATGCCCATCCCTGGAATGGGCATGATCAGGCTGGATGGGGCTTTGAGCAGCCTGGTCTAGTGGAAGGTGACCCTGCCCATGGCAGAGGGGCTGGAATGAGATGAAGGTCCCTTCCAACACAAATCGTTCTACGGTTCTATGATCTGATGTCTCCGCAGGTTGGTCTGAGGCTCCTCCCTGAGGTTCCTCCCAGCTGTGGCTCTGCAGCCATTCCTCTTGGCAGCTGCCCCAGTTTGAGCAGCTCACCCTGCCATCCTGCTCTCGTAGATGTGACAGCTCGGCTCTTCATGGGACCGCACTGGGGAGTGGATAAGGGAACAATCTCTATTAAAAATAGCTCTGCCAAAAAGATTGTAGAGCTCCACTCTGAAATGCCCCTCATCTTTCAAAGCAGGCAGGAAGGCCAGGGTACAGAGGGAAGTCAGGAACCAAGGAAAGGCAAGCAGAGAAGGTCCTTGGGCTTTGCCAGCTGTGAGAGGTGCTTGCCAAGCCCCAGAGACACTCAAATCGAGAGACTGGCATATGCTGAGTTTGCATTTTCTCTTACTGGCTTTTCCTTCAGCACCTCTGGGATCTTACATGCTGAAGAGACCCTGCTGACAGTCCTGCACCCTGTGCCTCAATCTGAACCCCTGTGGAAAATCACTGTGAGGTTGTGGCACAAAAGCAGCAAAGGGATAGCTGAATTTCCCTGAGCTGTGGGAGAGCCCCATGCCTGTCACAGCCAGTGCCACGTGGAGCTGTGTGAGCACAGACCGTGCTGCAGCAGCCAGCGCAGCATTTGCCATCACAGCTCACAGGGGCTGCAGTGAACGCTCCAGCAGCAGCAGCTGTGAGTTGCCCAGCTCCCACAGGCACATGAGGGACAGAGAAATCCTGCCCACGGCAGCTGCGGGAAGGTGGAGGCAAGCAAAGCTGCCCATGCCAGGGGGAATGCCTCTGGTAAACCATTCTGAGCTCTTGGGTCCACCTTTAAGAGACCTCTGCAGCCCCATCAACCCCAGCACTGACACCTGTCATGTGTGTGAGGGCTAAATCCCAGGGGGATTTAGGATGTGGGGATGCTGAAGCTGAGGCCCCTCCCAGCCTTGTGCCGGTGACAAACGATCCGTCCCTCTCCCGCAGCGTTATCAGCTCCCTCAGGGTGTTTGTTATCCCACAGCACCTCTGCTCCCTCTCACGGGGACTGGCTCTGGAGCAGCTTCCTCCTCCACATAACCTGGCCTCAAGCATTTCCCAGAGAAGACGGCCAAGGGGATTAAGCTGCCCCTGAGAAAAATGCAAACATTGGAGGAGCGGCTGCTTTGCTAACAGCTTGTAAATCCCCATTGAGATTAACCAGATCCCACGAAGATAATAATAATTAGGCTGTATTTAGTGCTTTACATGACCAAACCCGTGGATGCCCAGGAAGCCAGGGTGCCCCTCGTTGGGGTGGAAAATGGGTAAGGAGCTTATGGCAAAGGCACAGCAGCTTCTGTCTGTCTCCACACTTAAACATGCTGGAAACCTTGGCCCTGATCAGGGCAGAGATTGGGCTTTGAGGATTTGCACTGAGGCTTGCTGCCTTAGAACTGTGGTGGTGGCCATGGGGGGTTTAACCAAGGGGAGCACAGTTATGGGGAGCTGGGGCTGGTGAAGGCTGTGGAATGCAGGGAAGATGGGCAACACTGCTGGGATGCAGAGTGGGCTCCAGGCAGAGGAAAGCATCAATAATTAAGGAGAGGGATGAAACCAAAGTGTGCCTGAGATGCCATCTGAAATGAAGAGGCACTGGCACGGCAGGGCACGCTGGAACACAGCCAGGCAGAGGAGGGGGGTGAGGCCACTGGGGGCTGCCCAGCCCAGCTGGTTATCAGCTTACAACCTTTGAGGGTCACTGCCCTGATTCCTCGGGCTCCCTGCTTTCTTTGCATCCAAAAAGCTGGGATTTCCAGAAGAGTCACAGGAGAAGTGGGTTTCTGGAGAGACAATCAGTGCTGCTGAGGTCACAAGAGGCAGGACAGAGCCCTGGGGGCAGGACATGAGGGACTGAGGGAAGGCAGCTTCGTTTAAGACATTGCATCTAAGTGGGAATGGCCATGCCAGGTTTCACCTGTGCACCATGAGAGTGGCATCATGGTTTGGCCACAATTGCTGCCAGCTCTGCTGAAGGGGCAGTGAGTGCTGTGCCCATGGCTGCCCCTGCTCCCCCTGGGGTAGGGGGTCAGCAGCGAGGGCTGCAGGGATGGGGTGTGCCTGGCTCCCCAGAGCGGGCTGGCAGGGGGCCACAGCCCTGCTGGCCAACCTCCACCGGGTCTTACCCTGCAATTGTTTCAATTTACTAATGGGCTACAACAAAACTGTAATTAACAAAAATAGAAGTCTTCCTGCATAATTCTGGTCAACGTTACCACTTGGCAAGTTAATTAAATGCTCAATTCCCCCAGCGCCGCTGGGTTTTTTTAATGATGGAGCCAGAGAGCTTCAGCATCACAGTTAAACATGAATCCTCTGCTCAGTGACTTGGAGGTCTGAGAGGCTTGGTGGGAGCCAGTGGTGCCAGAAGCTTTGCAGCTTCCCCAATCAGCTG